CAAACTTGAACTCGTATCAATTATTCTGTACAGACATTTCTGGCCTTATTTTTTCCCAATTTTTGATCAATGCTGCTTGCTTAACGGTTATAGAATGTAAAACAACCGGAAAGTTGCGATTAAAATCAATATAAGACGAGAGAGCAACTAGTTGCATATTAATAATGACAATACTTAATCTAAGAAATTTGAACAATTTAAAACTATTACATCTACAACTACTACATGATGGAAATCAACAAAATAAGAAACAAAGAAAAATAGCAAATAACTTAATAATACTGACATATATATATATATATATATATATATATGAAGAAAAATATATACGGAAAAAACAAAACAAAAATCCTTATATACGATTATGCTGTTTTAATGTTAATATGTCAACGTCTGACGTTTCGGTCTAATAAACCATCTTCAGGACATATTCATAAATATAACATTATCAATACAACATGATAAAGACGATGTACATTAGAACAAGACTTATCCAAACAATAACTGAAAGTTTTATAATATCAGCGCTCCTGTCGGATCTATATCCATATATTTGCTTATATATATATATATATATATATATATATATATATAAGCATGCATAAATTTGTTAGTAGATATTCCTCTCCTAAATATACACCGACGTGCCAAAAGTTACAGTATGAAGGCATAAATGTAGGTAGCGCCAACACAACTTGATGTCACTTATATTCTGGTATCTGGTTAGTCAGTGTGAACATTGGCTCGGTAGCTCATGGTAAGGTGACTTAGTAAATTATAGGATTTCGATTGATAATGGGTGCTAGACAAAAGAGGCATTTTCCTATTGAAATTGTGGGGATTTCTGAAACTCCTCTATCGATATTGCCAAATATGTGCAGGAAATACCCGATTGAGAGCAATATAGCCTACAGCACAGTAGCCACCCACGATCGTGACTAGAGGCGTCTAGCTAGAATTTCCTGTCGTAACAATCAATCAATATTGGCTCAAATCGCATCCCTATTCAATACAGGAGGTACCAGACAAATATCCAGTTGGTTAGTTTTTTTTTTTGTTATCTACCTTCCAATGTATATGAGAGCAGAAGACCCAACAGGGTGCGACTGAATACCACGACACCGGATACAGCACTTCATGACACCTGGTCTAGGCCAGTGACATCGTTAACTGGACCTTGGAGAGCTGGCAACGTGGTCCGATGAATCATGCTTCCTGCTGGTTTACGGCCATATAACGTTAAAACACCAGTTCTCGTTCGATCACTGAAGTTAAGCAATGTCGAATCTGATGGGGGGACCGCTTGGGATTGCCAAGATTGGATAGATAGGCGGGGAATTGGAAATCGGAGGGCCAAATTTCAATTTCAGTAGAGTTTGTTACATTTATTTATGTGCAAATAAATACCCTTGGGAAAGGTATGAATACACATCTTCTCCCCCAAACTATGGGTTAAATAATGAATCTGGAAAGATCGTTGTTATCTCAAAAAAAAAAGACTGTTAATGCAATGTGCATTCACAATAAAGAGTTATACTTACAATCTAAAAATATGTTTCGGCTTTAAATATCTCACAGAGGGTTGATAAACCGTAAAAAATCAAATAAATCAAACAGGCATTGCCCGTTCATCGTAGACAGCATTGCGCAGTAATAGTCTGTTCAATTTTCAGTTAAAGAGTTTTCATTGGATGACATCAAACGCAGAGATACATGAAATTTTTTCCATTGTTGATTCAGTAGGTAAATTTTAAAAGCTGTCTGGGATCTAACCACGATTTTATTAGGTTTGAGTCCTTATAATAAATTATTTTTGACCCCCAATTTTTTCAACAAGAGCAAAAATTTTAAAGTTTCGACTCCCTTCATATGAAGGGCATTATTTGGATAATTTCAAAGGCTTCTAAATCAGGGGCCTTAAACGCAAGGAAATATAAAAAGCCATTTGATGCTGAGGGGGAGTGGTGAAGCGAACTAGAAGCAGACTCGTTGTCACGATTGTATAACCAATAATTCATCCATCAAAAGAATCGAGAACTTCAAATATCTTGAATCTCACATCATAGATTCCCCAAAAGTTTTCAACATCCGCAAAACTCTTATAGGGGGGACGCGTGTAACAAACTTCACAAGATTTGTCGTTGGAACCCTCCCTCCTCTTTAAAACCTTTCGAACTTTGATTAAACCAGTTTTACTGTAGGGATCAAAAACTTGGACATTATCCGCTCGTTTTGAAAGACGTCTTGATTGAACATATACAAATCTACTTAGAAAAATGCGGAACATCAGTTGGAGATTTTGCCATGCAACGCTTAAAACAATTCATGGAGAACTGAGACCAATCTGTCCTAAGCTCAAACAAAAACGATTGCAGTTTCCCGACAACTGACACTGAGCGGACAGGAAATCGTCTCATCCTTACTCTTATGGCATCCTTCTGGAAGTGTCTTCTCACGAGAATGGACTTTTCCAGAAAGGTTGGACATTGGGAAACTGAGGACAGTAATGCAGGACCCAACATTATGGAAAAGGATTGCCAATGGAGTTCCGACCAACCATGCGGAGATCGAAGGATGATGACGATGATGATGATAAACAATGATCAGAGCATCAACTTCAGTGGTGGTGGTGGGGGTGGTAAGAGGGCGGTCATCAACTTCAGTGGTGGTGGTGGGGGTGGTAAGAGGGCGGTCATCAACTTCTGTGGTGGTGGTGGGGGTGGTAAGAGGGCGGTCATCAACTTCAGTGGTGGTGGGGGTGGTAAGAGGGCGGTCATCAACTTCTGTGGTGGTGGTAGGGGTGGTAAGAGGGCGGTCATCAACTTCAGTGGTGGTGGTGGGGGTGGTAAGAGGGCGGTCATCAACTTCTGTGGTGGTGGTGAGGGGGTGGTAAGAGGGCGGTCATCAACTTCAGTGGTGGTGGTGGGGTGGTAAGGGCGGTCATCAACTTCTGTGGTGGTGGTAGGGGTGGTAGAGGGCGGTCATCAACTTCAGTGGTGGTGGTGGGGGGTGGTAAGAGGGCGGTCATCAACTTCAGTGGTGGTGGTGGGGGGTGGTAGAGAAGCGGTCATCAACTTCTGTGGTGGTGGTGGGGGTGGTAGAGGGCGGTCATCAACTTCAGTGGTGGTGGTGGGGGTGGTAAGAGGGCGGTCATCAACTTCTGTGGTGGTGGTGGGGGTGGTAAGAGGGCGGTCATCAACTTCAGTGGTGGTGGTGGGGGTGGTAAGAGGGCGGTCATCAACTTCAGTGGTGGTGGTGGGGGTGGTAAGAGAAGTGGTCATCTTCTGTGTGGTGGTGGTGGGGGTGGTAAGAGGGCGGTCATCAACTTCAGTGGTGGTGGTGGGGGGGTGGTAAGAGGGCGGTCATCAACTTCTGTGGTGGTGGTAGGGGTGGTAAGAGGCGGTCATCAACTTCAGTGGTGGTGGTGGGGGTGGTAAGAGGGCGGTCATCAACTTCAGTGGTGGTGGTGGGGTGGTAAGAGAAGGGTCATCAACTTCTGTGGTGGTGGTGGGGTGGTAAGAGGGCGGTCATCAACTTCAGTGGTGGTGGTGGGGGGTGGTAAGAGAAGCGGTCATCAACTTCTGTGGTGGTGGTGGGGGGGTGGTAGAGGGCGGTCATCAACTTCAGTGGTGGTGGTGGGGGGGTGGTAAGAGGGCGGTCATCAACTTCTGTGGTGGTGGTAGGGGTGGTAAGAGGGCGGTCATCAACTTCAGTGGTGGTGGTGGGGGTGGTAGAGGGCGGTCATCAACTTCAGTGGTGGTGGTGGGGGTGGTAAGAGAGCGGTCATCAACTTCTGTGGTGGTGGTGGGGGGGTGGTAAGAGGGCGGTCATCAACTTCAGTGGTGGTGGTGGGGGTAAGAGGGCGGTCATCAACTTCTGTGGTGGTGGTAGGGGGTGGTAAGAGGGCGGTCAACTTCAGTGGTGGTGGTGGGGGGTGGTAAGAGGGCGGTCATCAACTTCTGTGGTGGTGGTAGGGGTGGTAAGAGGGCGGTCATCAACTTCAGTGGTGGTGGTGGGGGGGTGGTAGAGGGCGGTCATCAACTTCAGTGGTGGTGGTGGGGGTGGTAAGAGAAGCGGTCATCAACTTCTGTGGTGGTGGTGGTAAGAGGGCGGTCATCAACTTCAGTGGTGGTGGTGGGGGTGGTAAGAGGGCGGTCATCAACTTCTGTGGTGGTGGTGGGGGTGGTAAGAGGGCGGTCATCAACTTCAGTGGTGGTGGTGGGGGTGGTAAGAGGGCGGTCATCAACTTCAGTGGTGGTGGTGGGGGTGGTAAGAGGGCGGTCATCAACTTCAGTGGTGGTGGTGGGGGTGGTAAGAGAAGCGGTCATCAACTTCTGTGGTGGTGGTGGGGGTGGTAAGAGGGCGGTCATCAACTTCAGTGGTGGTGGTGGGGGTGGTAAGAGAAGCGGTCATCAACTTCTGTGGTGGTGGTGGGGGTGGTAGAGGGCGGTCATCAACTTCAGTGGTGGTGGTGGGGGGTGGTAAGAGGGCGGTCATCAACTTCTGTGGTGGTGGTAGGGGTGGTAAGAGGGCGGTCATCAACTTCAGTGGTGGTGGTGGGGGTGGTAAGAGGGCGGTCATCAACTTCAGTGGTGGTGGTGGGGGGTGGTAAGAAGTGGTCATCAACTTCTGTGGTGGTGGTGGGGGGTAAGAGGGCGGTCATCAACTTCAGTGGTGGTGGTGGGGGTGGTAAGAGGGCGGTCATCAACTTCTGTGGTGGTGGTGGGGGGTGGTAAGAGGGCGGTCATCAACTTCAGTGGTGGTGGTGGGGGAATTAAGAGGGCGGTCATCAACTTCTGTGGTGGTGGTAGGGGGTGGTAAGAGGGCGGTCATCAACTTCAGTGGTGGTGGTGGGGGGTGGTAAGAGGGCGGTCATCAACTTCAGTGGTGGTGGTGGGGTGGTAAGAGAAGCGGTCATCAACTTCTGTGGTGGTGGTGGGGGTGGTAAGGGCGGTCATCAACTTCAGTGGTGGTGGTGGGGGGGTGGTAGAGGGCGGTCATCAACTTCTGTGGTGGTGGTAGGGGGGTGGTAAGAGGGCGGTCATCAACTCCAGTGGTGGTGGTGGGGGTGGTAAGAGGGCGGTCATCAACTTCAGTGGTGGTGGTGGGGGTGGTAAGAAGAAGCGGTCATCAACTTCTGTGGTGGTGGTGGGGGTGGTAAGAGGGCGGTCATCAACTTCAGTGGTGGGGGGTGGTAAGAGGGCGGTCATCAACTTCTGTGGTGGTGGTAGGGGTGGTAAGAGGGCGGTCATCAACTTCAGTGGTGGTGGTGGGGGTGGTAAGAGGGCGGTCATCAACTTCTGTGGTGGTGGTAGGGGTGGTAAGAGGGCGGTCATCAACTTCAGTGGTGGTGGTGGGGGGGTGGTAAGAGGGCGGTCATCAACTTCTGTGGTGGTGGTAGGGGGGTAAGAGGGGGTCATCAACTTCAGTGGTGGTGGTGGGGGTGGTAAGAGGGCGGTCATCAACTTCAGTGGTGGTGGGGGGGGTAAGAGAAGCGGTCATCAACTTCTGTGGTGGTGGTGGGGGGTGGTAAGAGGGCGGTCATCAACTTCAGTGGTGGTGGTGGGGGTGGTAAGAGAAGCGGTCATCAACTTCAGTGGTGGTGGTGGTGGTGGGGGGGTGGTAAGAGAAGCGGTCATCAACTTCAGTGGTGGTGGTGGTGATGGGGGTGGTAAGAGAAGCGGTCATCAACTTCAGTGGTGGTGGTGGGGGTGGTAAGAGGGCGGTCATCAACTTCAGTGGTGGTGGTGGGGGGTGGTAAGAGAAGCGGTCATCAACTTCAGTGGTGGTGGTGGGGGTAAGAGAAGCGGTCATCAACTTCAGTGGTGGTGGTGGGGGTGGGGGGTGGTAAGAGAAGCGTTCATCAACTTCAGTGGTGGTGGTGGGGGGGTGGTAAGAGAAGCGGTCATCAACTTCAGTGGTGGTGGTGGTGATGGGGGTGGTAAGAGAAGCGGTCATCAACTTCAGTGGTGGTGGTGGGGGGTGGTAAGAGGGCGGCCATCAACTTCAGTGGTGGTGGTGGGGGTGGTAAGAGGGCGGTCATCAACTTCAGTGGTGGTGGTAGGGGTGGTAAGAGAAGCGGTCATCAACTTCAGTGGTGGTGGTGGGGGTGGTAAGAGAAGCGGTCATCAACTTTAGAATGGGCGCACTGTAGGATGCGCATTTTTTCTCGCATTAAAATTAGTTTGTATCATATTCCCAAAAGAGGCAGGGGCAAACATTTTCGGGTCGAGCAACTTTCCCTGATATCAGTTGTCAAATTTATTTCTTATAAAATTAGAAAAAGTCACTGAGACATCGTCTTAAAGTACATTTGTACTCGCTCAAAAGTTAACAGGTAGTTAATGTTGGACACTCTCTTCACATATGAAGTACAGATTTGAAACAACAGAAATGTGCTTTTACTGAAGGATGTTGAGAATACCATGGATTGAATATGGGAGCAAAAACGAAATTTTAGAGAAAATAGAAACAAAAAAAGACACACTTTACATCAGGGTACTTAATGAGAAAAGAGGGCTTGGAAAATATGATACTTAGAATGCGTCCTAAGGCAAGAGAGAAAAAAGATATCCTACCTAACGAGCTTGAGTAAATGGATGTCGAAACAGGGCTTAGGAGAGATAACAAAAACGACAATAGAAGTAATTTTTCTAGAAGTTAATTAATAGGCTATTTTCTTTCTGAATTTCTGGGATGAAGAGTTATTGTCACCAACTTTTTAATAGTAGTGGACAGGTCAAGTATTTTTTTTTTTTTACCTCCTCCGGAGAGTAATTAGAAGAAATTATGCTACTCACCCCCCATCATTGATGGTTGGTGAATAGCATGGAAGGTAAATTTGTTAAACTTACTAAAATTTGAGGAAAATTTTGGTGACAGAAATGTTTCACGCAAAACGCTAGTTCTCGGGCCACGTGTTTTAGATCCCTGTTTCAAACGATGAATTGCTTTTGATTAAATGTACAACTAACAAATAATTGTGTTGTAATAAACGTTCTCTACAATAGTACACATTTTTGCGAGTAGCCAACGTTCTAACCCCAGTTCACTCGTCTCCCAGAAATCCTATGCCGTTTAGCGAACAGAACCAAGATTTTGTTTCCATGGGGCATCAGCCATTGGTTTGTTCCACGTTGTAACTTCCTTTGTTTCGATTTTTGGTCTCAGAATATAGCGTACTCGGTTTGCCCAATGTCAATAAAACATCACACATCTTTTTTTTTTTAAAGAAATTCAACCCAAGTAAGACGATAATGCCACTACGATGCGAGGGGATACTGGAAATAAAAGAGAAGAAATAAACCGGAAAACTAAACAGGGAATAAGGAACAAGCCTCAAAAGACCGGAGACAAACCTGAACCGGGCAATAGGCATATATATCTATTCCTATTGTGTCCTAAACTTGACCGCTTTTCAGGTCGGGTGAGCCCGTGCGTTTCCTTAGTAGATAAGTAAATTTAAATATTATGTAAAAGTTGATGCTGATAAATATTGCATGAACAAAATATTAGTTTTAATCACATTCCTTCAGGAGGTAGGAGATCATGGCTCTCCACAACTGCCATGATTTTTTTTAAATATATAAGTATTCTTTCTTGTTGCTTCCGTTATCCTAGACTGGCTACTACTCGAGGCTTGAGAATCTAATCTAACCTTAATGACATTATTTACATGCCGACTGTTTCCCCCATCTTTGTTGTTATCACAAAGCTTTGGCAGCAGACTCACCAGCAGGCAGATTAGGTTTAAGGCTCCAAGTTCTACATTCAGAATTGTCCCACGGGACAATAGATTAAAGCATTGGTTCGTGAAATTGGTTGAAATAATTTTGAGTTCAATTACTGGAGACGGGGCGAGCAATAATTGAGGAATATTAAAATGAGAACTAGACGAGATGTTCCGAACGTGCTCAACGGAACCAGAATAATCTATCCCCATAGATGAAATAAAGTGTTAATTTCGAAACAGTAGTTTCAGTTGAAGGTTACCGACTGGCACCTGATAATGGTCAGAGAGCAAAATGGACAAGATGTTGTGATAACAACAACAAAATTGGTGATAATAACTCTTCATCCCAGAAATTCAGAAAGAAAATACCCTGTTACTTAACTTCTAGAATAATTACCTCTATTGTCGTTTTGTTATCTCTCCTAAGCCCTGTTTAGACATCCATTTACTCAAGCTCGTTAGGTAGGATATCTTTTTTCTGTCTTGTCTTAGGACGCCCTCTAAGTATCACATTTTCCAAGCCCTCTTTTCTCACTAAGTACCCTGATGTAAAGTGTGTCTTTTTTGTTTCTATTTTCTCTAAAATTTCGTTTTTGCTCACATATTCAATCCATGGTATTCTCAACATCCTTCAGTAAAAGCACATTTCTGGTGTTTCAAATCTATACTTCATCTGTGAAGAGAGTGTCCAACATTAACTCCTATATCGAAGGCCTGATATTACCTAACATTTCTGTACTCCTTTTTTTACTACTAAAGAAATTATTAGTATTATAAGATGTAAAAAAGTAACAGCGAGCAGATGAAAGTAATATAGAAAATAGAATTTTGAAAATAATAATCAGTAATATTTGTCTATGTGTCGTGGCCCTTCAGGACGTGGTTGAGCTTGGCTCTCTACAAACCCCTGGCCCTAGTAGCCTTGAAAAGTGTTATCCTTTTACCATCCCCGCCACTGTTCTGCCATCTATTCACACAAGCTCGCCAGGTAGGCCTTCACTTGTCTCTTTTGCCTGCGATAAGTCCTGTTAGTGTCAGATTTTCTAAGCCCTTCTTCCTCGTTATGTTTCTAAGAAATTTCCGCTGTCTCTTCCTGATTTTGTGCATAAGTGTCTTTTTGTTTCCATTTCTATTAAAACTTCTTCGTTGCTAATGCGCTCCATTCATGGTATTCTCAGCATCCTTCTGTAGAACTACATCTCTGTTGCCCCAAGTCTTCTCTTCATCTGTGAAGTAATTGTCCAGTATTCACTGCCATATAGGGGGATTGATATTATATAGCAGTTCAACATTCCCATGCTTCATCTATGGCACCATCAACATCCTTCTGTAGATAAATATTTATGTTGCTTCAGGTCCCTACTTCATCTGCGAGGAAATTGCCCAGCATTCAAGGCCATATAAAAGGTTCCCCCATCAAAATAAATAAATAAATCGAATTTGTATATATTTTCCAGTGATTCATCAGATGTATTTGCATGCAGAATCCTTTGGACAAAATCCCTTAGGCTAGTGATTTCCAAAGTGGGCGTTACCGCCTGGGAACGGTGGAAAGATCTAGGGAGTAGTGAGAAAAGAGGTGAACAGCCAGAGAGTGGGAGTGGCACATCTGAATCATAACACCACCCCTACACACATTGTACCTGAAGTGTGTCTTGTCTTCACTTTACATTGTATTCCATTTATATAACAATTATTATGAGAAATACAAATGAAATCATTTGGCATGCACCAAAAAAAATCCAATCAAAGGTTGAGTATACATTGGTGAGAGGCCTTAAAGTTGTGTCTATATATTTGGTAGCGGGGTGTTAGAATTGTGTTTTGGTACGCAAGATTGTGGTAACCCCAAAACTTTGGAAATCATAAAATATAAAGAAACCTACATTCATCTAGTCATGTGATTTTACATTGAAAGTTTAAATCTCTTCTGTTCGAGTGTATTAAAGTAAACTAATCAAATACAGTAAACTATATTTAATATCTAGAAATACATTGCCTGACCAGCCTCATCTCATATGAGCACACCATCAGTGTAATGTACTATAGTTCTGTCAAGTATTCTTTTGTCCCAAATACAAATGTTGTTTGGAATAACCAGTGGGAATTTTAAAACTTATGCCAATGGGAATTTTAAACTTCAAAAGTGAACATACTGGTTCAAATTATCATCCTACTAGGAATGTTTGTATAAATTTGATAAACATGGAACAAAATAATGGAGAAAATTATTTAAAACAAAAGACAAGTGTGCTGTACTAAACATTAATTTTCCAAGCATAGCTTAGACGTGGCACAAGGCCGAAAGTAGGGGGCACCCAGTGGGAATACGAAACTCGCTCCTCAGTCTCAATTGTTCTAGCGAGACACGCTTGCTAACCATTACACCACCTGGAGGTACCCCGTGTGCTGTACCAAATAAACGCATTGTATGAAGTGAATTAAAGGAAAATAATCCCAGCACTTGTACCCAGGTGGGTGGTGAGAAAAAAAAGTGCAAAGGGTGGCAGTAGCACATCTGATTCAGCTTCTCTCTCTCTCTGTCTCTCTCTCTCTCTGTCTCTCTCTCTCTCTCTCTCTCTCACACACACACACTGTACCGGAAGTGTATCTAGCCTTCACTTTACAGTGTATTCCATTTATAACAATTATTATGGGAAATAATAAGGTATTCATTTGACATTCAATACCAACACCAAGAAAATCCAATCAAATCCTGATTATACTTTT